GAGAGAGAGAGAGAGAGAGAGAGAGAGAGAGAGAGAGAGAGAGAGAGAAAGAGAAAGAGAGAAAGAGAGAAAAAAGAAAGAGAGAGAAAGAGAGAATTAGTTCTGCAACAGTGCTGTTCATTTCTTAAACTTATGTTAAAAAGTAACACCATTGTTCGAGTGTCAGCATCCTTGCAAAAATAATGAGTAAATGATATTGAACTAGATCCTCATTCCATATAATTAGTTTTAATAATTTCAACAGAAGTAACTCTTGGTATATATGCTTACAAAAGAAATACAAAAACAAAAAAAACAGGCAAAATAGTACATTACTTTAAAAAATGCCCGAGAAATTATCCAGCATAAGTTGTTTACAAAAAAATATTAGGAATAGATAAAGTATTAGAATTTCTACCAATAAATTATTTTCACAGCAACACCTACACAATAACTTTTCAAATTGCAATTGTGGATGTGGAGACAATTTGAAAAGTCAATCTATTTACAGCATTAATCCATTTTGAATGCAAAACTCCTGTTTGTTTTGGGAATGGATATTCAATAAATAGCAGCATCTACTTCCTAATTTTCATATCATTCCGAGACGGAACTGTAGCTGCTTTCCACATATTTTCAAATTCTCCAGCAAAATGCCACACTAATTCAGGATTATTTGTGATTACAACATTCTCATTATTACCTATTACTGCTCCCCAGGTCCAATTAAACGATCCATTCATCAGCACACCATCTCCAGCCCAGTCGGAGTGGCCATTTTCCACATCCCTTGAGACATCGGAACTGGCTCTTCTTTGGCCATCCTGTTCATCTGTCACTGTTTTACGAGTCAGTCCAGAAAGACAGAACATCTTTTTAAATGTTAGAGTTGTACAGCCTAAAGGCTCAATCTTCCTAACCCCTTGTATTTCATTCAGCATTGGGCCATCAATCACAGCAAATTTGTGGTGCATCAGATATGTGGACTGACTGCACCATACAAGGATGTTATGACTCTGAAGTAGTTTTATAACTTCTATACTATTATTGATCATTTGATTCTCCACTAGTACGCGTACATTTACCCCACGCTGCTGTAAATAAAGAAGCAATCAACAGAATTTTAAATATGATAAATATTCTTAAAGCTTTTTCCATAGCTATTTATACACACAAAATGCTTCATAAACCATGAAATATAATTTAATATAATATTCAAATGTCGAAACTTATGGTTTCAAATTTACCATGCAATTTGTAAAAATTATCAGAAACATCATTGATATAAAATTCATGATGTAAATGAATCAATTCAATGTCTGTATTACACTGAAAATTGAAAAATAAGTGAAAGAAAAATATTATAGATATGTGAACCATCATTACTAACCTTAACTTTAATGACTGCATGTGCTAGCACCTTGCATGTAAAAACATACACACATATTACCACTGATTTCTTGGCTGACAAGATTGCATTTACCATATGAACTAAAGACGTGCTTCTCCTCAAAACACTGGAGATAAACTGTTCATCCTTGCCATTTCTAGTAGGCTGCTGTCTTCCATCAATGTGAAATTGGCTTAGATATTTCTTGTATTCACTTTCTTTGTGTTTACTGTAAGAGTTTAACTTTTCTTCTATGGCCACTTCTTGCTTTTTCCTATTGATGGAATTTCCTGCAGAATGAACTGGAAAACCAAATGGATTTTCACTGAAGCTAGTATTGCAGCTGTCTTTTGATGAATTTTCCTGATAACATGTGGTATTTTCTTTATTACATGATAATAGTGAGTACTTTTTAGATTTCATCTTACTTTTCATCTGTTCTTTTGGTACAAGAAATGGGTTCTCAATCATTTGCTCATAGGGGACTTCATCAATTATTTCCATCTCATGACCATTCACTTCCATCTGATCAAACTCCATCTTGGCTTCCCCCTGAAGATGGGAAGACTGTTTTCCTACTGTTGCTGCAATGTGTTTATGCATATCATTATTTTTCATGGCAGGAGATAGCTCCTGCCATGGTATTGAAACTGGTTTTACATCCTGATAAACACCATTTGAGGTTATACCCTTATCTGGAAAAAAAATTACTTTTGTGTAATTTCTCTTCTTCATGATATCTGCTTTTCTTGTTTCTCTTTTAACAATATATTTCACACACCTGTATAGTATTTCTGTTCCAACAATGAAACCAAAGGCAATAAAATAGTATTTACTGTTTATCATTCTCTCCAATTTCACATAAACAAAGAAAGGCAGAAAATCTGTGATAAATATTGCCTCAATTCTAAATTAATGTCTCTTCTATAGACTACTAGCAATCTCTTTCCACTAAACATTCCTCAACAACTCTTGCAAGGTTAGGGTTCTCTAAAGCTGCTGCTACACGTTCTTTGTCATTGATTTGTTTGTTTACTGAAAAGAATAAAAGGAATTATTCCTAAACCCTACATAAAATGTAGAAACATGAAGAAATAACCATCAAAACATTTAGAAACAGATAACCAATCTGTGAAATTTATTCTATAGACTCCTTTGCTATTTTCTCTAATTAATTATCAATATAAAGAACCTCGCTGCTGAATGCTGCCTACAATCAAATTTGTTACTTTTTTGATTCATCATAAGATAGTTCTCAATCAAAACTCATTCCTAATGAACATACCTTCTTGTTCTGTATCATGACTTCCAGGAGCTAAATGGATGTCTGCTTTAAAGGGAAACGGAAGTGCACGCGTCAACTTCACTCGTATGCACAGGCCGATGAGAGTTGCCAGAGAACAGTGAGATATGGTTGGGACAAATTCTACAGTTATCAGATACTTGTCCTCATTGAATCTAGTAACCTGTTTTGGAAGAACAATACAATTTGTATTTTCCATGTTTATGCAGTCTTTAGATACTAAAACCTGTTCTAGCATATTTAAGAAAAAATAATTGTGAATCTGGTTTGTGATAATCTGTGCTGAAATACTTTCTCTTTTCCTTATCATTTATTCTTTAAAATCAAGGTCAAGCAACACTGTTCTGCTACATATTATAATTTCACTTCTTTAATAATGTATATATCTTTTACACTTTATACTTATTACATAAAAACATTAAACACTATTAACAAATTAAAATTAACCTTTATTCCTTCTTCACTGACAACATTTAAATCCTCTAAAGTTGCGTCCTTTTCTGGATCTCTCACAAGGCGAATGGCATCTGCAATATGTTTATACAGGTCTAAATATCAATCCAAAATATATTCACTATAGTAATAACTGTCTACTATGTAACCAGTGGTAATCAAATTCATTGCAACAATCATAAAATAAAAAATCAGTGAATATAATAATGCAATCAATTTTTTCTCACTTGCATTGTGAATATACAATTATACCTTTGACAGCAATTTTTGCTGAAAGAAAGAAAGAAAGAAAGAAAGAAAAAAAAAAAAAAAAAAAAAGTGTACACACTAGATTTTAGTTTTCTGAATGACATTAGCAAAATTCCTCACCATATACAGTAGCTGCAATATCTGTCAGTTCTGAATCAACTTCCATATTGGTTTTGTCTGGAAGGAAAGAGAAATACAAGAGTGAAATATGCGCTGAAAATATTGTTCAGAAAACTAGAACCACCGACACCTTTTGCCTATTTTAACCATATTATCTAGCAAAAATATATTCAAATGCAATTCTGATAATGATATATTTTTCTAAACTAGTCTCTTTTAAAACACACATGGGTAGATATGACATGAAATTTGACATCCAATATGATGAAACTCAGTGATTTTTTTTGTTAATTCAACAGCTAATTAGCCGGAATAAAAAAGGAAGGACTATATATATATGTAAATATATATATAATATATATATATAATATATAATATAATGTATATTAATATATATATATATATATATATATATATAATATATATAATATATATATATATATTAATATATATATTATATATATATACTATATATGTACATTAATATATATGTATATTAATATATATATATATATATATATATATATATATATATGTATATTAAT